AGATATCAGGCATTGCCTTCACGGGTCATCTTCTTGACTAAAACCGTGCTACCTGAGCAAACTGTGGTCGCCTATCTCCGGTCGCATGCGGTATCTTAAGTGGATTTCTGGTACATTTTGGTCATAACGCCGAATTTCTATGACGGGTTATTTATCCGTCTGCATAGCTCCATGACTGCAAGGCCCCCAAAGTTGTACTGGTTTATTCAAACAGACATCACTCAGTGATAACGTCTTCGCTTGATTTTCGAAAATCTCCGCCTCCCCTTTTCTCATCGCGATCTTTTTTACTCCGGTTAGCGATAGATCCCTGATCCAGGCTTCCCCTTTTTGCTGGTCTTGCTGTATTCTTGTTTTTCCTGAGTCTGCTTAAGCAGTAGGCAAAGTTATTGCTAACACTTCCTTCCTTTAATCTCCTATTCATTAAACTTTTGTCCAAAGGCTGTCAATGGCCTCCTTAATCTTCCCCTTCCTTGTGTTTTCACTGTATGAGGCCCTTATTTCTGTTGCCTTTAAATTGATCTTTGGTCCAATCTGTTTAATGTGTTCCGCTAATTCTGATCTTTCGGTATCCATTTTCCTGCAGAGCCTTTGATGTTTCTTGATTCTTATGCTAATTTTCTCTCTGTCTCGTCAATATATTTATGTTTTCAGGCAGTAAACGCCTGAACAATCAAATTTGTCTACTCTTTCATGTTGCGTCATTAGACCGTGAAAAGTATTGTTTTTTCCTTTATTTCCACCCGAATATTCCATTTCCTTAATATTGGAGTAGTCTTTGAGTTAGCTCGCAGGAATGTAGGCATATCCACTTTTGTGAATCCTTCTTCGTAGTCCTCGTTTTGTCATTTGCTTTTCACGGCTCGTATGTCTCATTGTTTTACTTGGCTTGGGTAGTTGCTGAAGACGAATATCAGAGTCAATTTTTCCAAATTCTCGTCCCAGAATTCCACATCCGTTAAACGTAGGCTTCGACTAATCATGCTCCTCATTATTCCTATCTTTAGTCTGTAATTGTGATCAGACTGGAAATTGAGTATTATCCCGGGTAAAGACTTCTTTCTGAAGAATTTATTCTTGAGCATCCCATTAGTGCGAATCATTTCAACATCCAGGACCGTTAACCCCTCACCTCTCTACTTCCATCGTGAATTTAATTTTTCCATCAATTCTGATTATAAACTTAAGAGCAGCTTCCAGTTTTTCTCATCCATGTGCCAGTAATCATCCAGTTACCGCATGAGCACTACTGGTATTAAGGGTAACATCTTGAAATTCCTTTCTAATTTGTTCACGTTTACATTTGCTGAAAGTGGTGAGAGCGGCGATCAAATGGGTCGTTCAAATATTAATTCATAGATGGTCCTGTTAAATTCAAAATAGGTTGTCCTTATTTTCAGGTTAATTTATCACGTTAACGACTCCCTCCTGATCCTTTGTGAGTCCAGGCTATTCTCCTCTCGGTCCAGGATATTTGTTGTTGACTATCAGTCTTAGTGGCTCGCCTTTATGTATCTTCGGTAATCCGTAGGCTGTTGATGACCGTGCGTCCTTTCTTATGATTGAATTTCTTGCCCATGCGTCAATCTCCCAGTTCCTATGTATATCTTTCGGCATGTCACTTAAGATTCCATTGATCTTCATAGTCGAGCCCTTCTTTAGTATTCGATATGTGGTTCTGTCTCGTAGCATATGTTCCATCTTCTCGGTTTATTGTTTTTTTGACATTATCACTGTAGCTCCTTTGTCCGCCTGAAGCACTAATTGTCCATTCGTTTCCAGAGTCTTGCGTATCCTGGCAAATCTTTTCCTGTGTGTTAGTTCTTGATGTGTCAAGATCTTTAGAATTAGTTCTATATCTACTTCCCGTTTTGTCTTCTCAGGGAACTTTTTCGCAGATATTGATAACCTCCACCAGGATGTCTCCTAGAAGGCTTCTGTTATTTGGAAGTGAAACGTTAGGTCCTTTTTCCAGGAACGCTGCTGTTTCGGGATTAAGAGAAAATGATGATAAATTAACTACTTTATTCCGATCGTCGTGCTGATCAGTAGGTGTTATTACCTCGAAAACCACTTCATTTGAGCGTGCTGGTTTTAACTTAGGTTGTCTTATAATCCAAAACTTACGGAATTTATCGTCATTTCCTTTTATAACTAAGTTAGAGATCCTACTTGATTTCCTGTCTGTCATGTTCTGGAGTTTTTACATTCTTCGGGAGTCAGGATCCTGCCCAGATCACGCCGGAGCTTTGACTTAAGTATCATCTAGTTTCTAAATATATGCCTGGTAGAGATACTCATTAACCTTATCCGAATGGTAGGGTCTCTTACGATCTCAGAACTTAGTAGTGATACCATAACGTTTACAACAGTTTAAAAAGTTAAGATGGCAAGTGTCTTCTTTTTCCGGCTTTATTCAGCGCTTTGTATGGCAATATTACTACTGTATTTTAATCGAATATATGAAGTCCAAGACTTAAATGTCTCATCTGCATTGTTATTAATTGGCATTTATGTCTGAATGTGCGAAGATGATGTGTTGGGAACTGATGTGCTCAAACCGTCAATCAAAACTACAATCTCTCTTGAAATTCAAGTTAGGCGAAGTTGCTATTCCACTCTACCTAACACTTTATTTGAAACAAAACGTTTATTCATATTGTTTTACTTTTATCAGATTCCATATTTTTTTAGTTGGCATTAAGAGGGTCATTTTCTTACCAATTCTCACATTTTTTGAGATTTGAAGCTATAATTTTGAAGAATTTTTTTATAATTTAATGTCACTTCAAAGGAAAGGGTGATTTAAAGCTATTTATAAATTTGCCTCATCGAAAACTGAATGAGGATTAATTTGGAGTTGTAATTGCTGGACTGTGCAAAAATTTTCTCTGACCACTCCCTTGAGACGCTGATAAATCCGTGCTGAGTCTTTATCTGTCATGTTAAAGGCATCGCCAGAGCGAGAAAACATTATTAACTAAAATATCACGATTAAGCCAAACCCTTCTTTGTTAATGGTGATGTCCAAAAGCAATGCTCCTGTTTCCGTTTGAACCAACTTACAAATCCCTTCCTATCAACTTGCCCTACTAAATGAAAAGTTCAGTGAAATCATGTCAATACTTTTGTTGCAGCAAATTAACATACGCTTGCTATCTAGTTCAACCAAAGTTTATTGGCTCTTGACATCCATCTCACTGTCTTCAGTCTCCATAGTAGACATTCTGGCTGAAATTATATGCACAAATGACTATTGGTTGCTATTAGCAAGAACCATAATCAGGTTTTTAGAGCGATATCAATACACGCTTCAACCTGGGTTTCTCTTCCAAAATTTAATCTATGCTAGCTAATAAGCCACTCACTGTGAATTGCAATTAATTAAGCAAAGATTTCTTGTGGACATTAAATGAGCATCGGGCATCTTTTTTTACCTTTGCTATTTTACCTCAAACCAACACAAATTTAAAAATATTATAACGCGTAGTCTGATATATGTTTTTCTATATCCTTCTTTAAATCAGGTTTTGAATCGTCTTCGAGAATATCTAAACGAAGAGAACTCGAATGAAGGGAGATTCCACAGTGTTTGGCAGAATGCTACATATGCCGCTGACCAGGCTGGGTCTTCATCTTCACTGGCAAATAGCTCTGGACTAGCCGAATGTCATAGCTTGTCAACCTCTGTGCCAGGGATCATTCCTACTGGGTCAGCTAGTTCAACCGCCTCGGCGGCGTCGTCCCCTTTGGCCGGCAAAGAAATTATCGAGGTAGAAGGCTGCGGCCAGTTTCACCGTATCTGGTCAGCTGTGCAATTCGTTTTCAGCACTCCTTTTGGTCAGAATGAGTACACTGTTGAGGAGATGTTTGGCGAAGGCCTCAACTGGGCCGGTTGTACACTAATTCTTCTGTTAGGCCAGCAGCGACGGTTTGAGGCGCTCGATATTGGTGGACAACTGCTGCGTGCACAGAGGGCTGACAAAAAGGATTCCACTTCCGAAGGAGTGGTGCGTTGCGTATGAATATTTTTTATTTTGTCTCGTCTCCTTTTTCCTTTTTCAAGCATGCTTCTGCAAATCTTTGAGCTTGCATTTTCTCGATTCGACGGTATTCTTGATATGTAATGTCCTCTTTGGGTAACCATTTCCTACTCCCAATGGCATTCCGCAGAGCCAACTACCTTTTATTTTTCCGTGGAGCTAACTTGATTTTTTAA